GGTCTTTGATTCATGGGCTGGGACCCTCAGATGGGTTGCAAGCCCCTATGGAACTGCCAGCAGCTTCTACTAGTGCACATGTGCAGACCGCAACGTCATGCCCTCTTGGCTATTTTTGCATGCATCCTGGCAGGAACAACAGGACAGCGAGACAACATCCCACAGTGATGGAGAGCATTCCTTTAGCACAGGCGGATTTGGAGACCATGTTCCCTCCTCTTCCTGTCACATGATTATGGTGTCATGTGACTTCCTGCTATGTGTTTGCAGCTCATGCTGCAGCCTAGGCTTAAATGGTCAAGAAAGGCTACACTAGGCAATTTTTTAAAAACTTTTTATCTGAAGCTAATTTGTATGCAAATTGCAGAGAGGACAGGTATAAATATTTTAAATAAATCGGGGGTCCTAAACACATGGAATGCATGCATGCCACAAAACATGCTTATAACTGCATGTTAAGGCTGCAATCCTACATATAACAACTTGAGATGATACCCTATCTGGCTCAGACAGACCATAGTTTAAGTGATAGAGGGCATGTCCCACACTCCAATGATCCCAGAGTTAATCTCTTCTTAAAGGATTCACTGGTCCCAAGAGGTGGGAAAGGCCTTGTTGTAATGGAGACCTTAAGAGAGCTTCTGACAATCAAAATTGACAATAGTGAACTAGAGGAAGCCTTGGTCTCATTCAATATAGGGCCAGGTTCACAGGGCAATCATTTTGTGTTTCTGAGTATGCATGAATACAATCCCCTGGCCTGGATGGCCCAGGCTATTCTGCTCTCATCAAATTTTGGAAGCTAAACAGGGTCAGGCCTGGCTGGTCAGTATTTGGATGGGAGACCACCAAGGAAGTCCAGGGTTGCTACGCAGAGGCAGGCAATGGCAACCCACCTCTGAAGTCTCTTGTCCTGAAAAACCCTACGGGGTCGCCATACGTCGGCTGCGGCTTGATGCACTTTCCACCACCACAAACAGAATCAGGCTGCCTGGCTACAATCCAGTGTTCCCTCTAAGCTATGGAGTCATGTGAGCACAAATGTGAGCTACGGGCATTAAAGTTATGAGCGAGCGATTTGGCTCCTGCATAAATTAGTTTGCTCTGGAGCCATCCTTCCTGAGCTAAGACAAAAATGTGTGAGCCAGAGGCTAAAAAACTGTAAGTTAGCTCACACGAACTCAGTTTAGAGGGAACACTGCTACAATCCCTTGCACACTACTCAGCGGGGTTGACTTCGGAGGACAAACTCTAAGGGCTGTGCTCTTAGAACATTCCTGTGAGAAAAGGTCTCTTATTTAATGAACAGCTCAATCAACAGATGGCCTGATCAGAAAACATGCCCCTCACGGAAGCCTACGACTGCATCATCACCACAAATCACAATGGGGAAGGTGGGTCTCACTGTGACAGCGCCCCAGCACAAATCACAATGACGCCAGTGCTAAGTTTGAATGACATTTCTAAAATCTCTGTTGGAAAGTGTGTATGCAAAAGAACAGCCTGTTGTTTTATGGAGACTGTGCCTCAAAAGAAGAGGTAATTTAAGGCTGCAAGTGCCCAAATTAGGAAAGGTGCCCAAATCCAGATTTGTAGGTCTGGCAGGTTTAAGCAGGGTACCCCTTGAAACCAACTCGCTCTTTCCTCCAGCCTCCCCCCCAGCATGTAAAGATGGATACTTGCCAAGAGGGCTTGTGACCCACGCATCGGTGCCTACAACACAGCCGCCTCCTTTTCATTACAGACAGCAAAACATTACAAGCACTCCTGCTTTCCCACTGGCACCATAAAACTCTATTTTGACTTCCAGCCAAGAATCTAGATTTATGACTGCTGATACATTCATGCGCCCCCCTCTTTCCATCAACAGATTTAAACTCAGGGCCTCAATCCATCTCCCCCCCTCCCAATCTCTGCCTTTAAAAAGAATATCTTCAGTTCTCTGAGCCACCTCTGGAAACGGAGTTGCAGCTGGCAGAGTTGAATGGCAGTCCTTCGGCAACCGACACAGCGGGTCACACTTCTGAGTAAGCACGCAGCTGGCTCCCAGTCCAGCAAAAATATTCCTTATGTAAGGTCTTGACATTCTGACCCTGCAAAGAAAAACACACTCCATCCCCTCCATGCACTACAACAGGATCTTGATCTGGCTTTATAATTTCCAGATCTCACTGCCGTCCTCTCTAGACGCTTCTAAGAATCTTCGTTTTGTAAAAGGATTGCAAACTCAACCAGAGATGAGAGGAAAGGCTGTTTTCTCTCTCCCCCCGACATAGCTGAGTAGTTTTGGACTGCAGTCGCTGGGATGTATTCAGACAACCACGCACAGGGGGTGCAATTACCTCGTCCCCCCAATGCACACGAGCACCAGCCTGCAAGAGCAACTCACCGCAATCGCGCTTTAGTTTCTTTCCGCGTTCGCCCAACCACCTGCAATCCGTTTTTCTTCAAGCGAGAAGAGCTCCGTAGCGCGGCTTGCCGGTTCTCGGACCGTCGGAGGCAAAACATCTAAAGGAGGGGGAAAGGAACAGGCTGTTAAGCCGCAGCTTTTCAAAGGAGGGCTGAACAAAAAGGACCTCGCTCGGGGGGGGGGGCGGAGAGAGAGCAAGAACA